TTTATTAAATTTCATAAAGCTTCAAAATCATATTAAATTTATAGGGCCTTATTACAAGGGTGTTGTTAATATTTATGGCATTTCACAAGATCCAAATACAAGAGAATATGTTCTCATAATGAGATATGCAGACAAAGGAGATTTTAAAAAATATTTAAAATCAAATGGCACAAGATGGGATGATAAAATTAAAAGACTTTATGATATTGTCTCAAGTTTAAATACATTTCATCAAGAAAAACTTACACATGGTGATCTTCACAGTGGTAATATTTTATATTTTGGTTATTTACACCAGGCAATGATTACAGATTTAGGGTTATCAGGCCCAACTAATCAAAAAATATCAAGTAAAAATGGTATAGTTGGAGTACTGCCATATATTTCACCAGAGGTATTAAATAAGAAGTCTTACACCCAAAAATCTGACATCTATAGCTTTGGGATCTTAATGTCAGAATTATCAACATGTCAACAACCATTCAAGAATCAACCACATGATCTAGATCTTGCTATCAAGATCTGTAATGGCTTAAGACCTAGTTTTTCAGACAATACTCCAGAATGTTATATTAGGTTAGCATACAAATGTACAGATGCTGATCCTAAAAAAAGACCAACAGCAAATGAAATTTTAAAAATTATTACTTTTTGGAAAGATGCAGTTGCATATGATGATTCTAAGTATTATTTTAAAAAAATAAATTAAAAGAAATAAGAAAAATATTTGAAAAAGCAAATAAAAAGCCCTTTAACCTTCCAACAATTACTGCAACTGTTCATCCAAATGCTATTTATACAAGTAGATTATTCAATTTTACAAATCTTCCACAACCTGTAAACTCCAATAAAGTTACAATTATCAGCAACAATATTGGTAATTATCATCAATTATTTAATTTTAAAATTCATTTAATATCAGCATTAATATTATTTATTATGTTATAAATTATCACATTTACAGAACATCAAATTGATTTAGATAATATTAATGGTAACTTTTGATTATTGATTTTAAAATTTAACATCAACACAATTATTACATATATTATAGTAATAATAATGGTAACCACATTATTTTTATTATGTTATAAATTATCATATTTATAGATTCTAACCAAATGGATTTAGAAATTTAGACCTACAAATAAATTTCACTCATTTGATTATTGGAATTTTACATCAGTTTTTATTATTGTGAGAAAACATTATTTTTGTTTTAATGACATGATCAATCACTATTTATTTAGATATCAACATGATATATTTTGTCTATCTTATAGTTCAGGCCAATTACAGAGATTTAATTGTAAAAGTTTCAGTCAACCAGTAAAAAAAAATTTTATTTGTTAAACTGGTTTCATTTAAATCATTTTATTTTCCTATGATAATAGTTTTGGGTGTTGTAACAGTTTATATATTTTATATATTATTTAATTATCATAAACAAATTTCCTTTTTTAAAAATAAAATTTCATTTAGAACTTTAGAACTTAACCTTGTTTTTTTTTTGTGGAGAACTGAATGATGTGTAACAAACAATTTTTTGTACATTTTTTATTATTATTTGATTGCTTTATAAGCTTTTTTTTTCTAACAGGATTAATTGATAAATGATGTAAGTTGGAAAACAAAATCGCATTATTTAAAGAATAACTTCATCATCACCAAGCTTTAATGATTGATTTATTGTGACTCAACAATAAAAGAATTTCAGCATTCTTTGAAGATTTAAAAGTAATAAGATGTACAAAACCTGTGTAAAAGTCATTCTAAGTACCAATATTGATCAACCTATGTTGCTTCAAACTCAGACACTAAATATGGCTCAAGCACATTATTAATATTATTGTGTATTACTATTATGCATAGTTAACTTCAAAGATCAAAAATTTTGAAAAAACATCAATTTAACACAACTCATATGTAAAGACAATTTGATTTTATAAATGTAATTAATATTAAAAGAATAGTTTAAAATATATGGAAAAAAAATAAGTAGTAGTAGTTTAATTAAGTAAAATTTCTCCCATGATAATTATTCTTCTTGCATCATACATATGTAGTGTAAAATAGTAAATTATAAATCATGGGAAACGTATAAATCGGAAATGATTTACAAAAAGTTACACGCAAATAAAATCGGAAAAACTGATCAAGTGATCAAAACAGTTCAATTTATTCAAACACCAATAAAATAATTGACTCACGGAAATATTGGAAATATAAATATTCCAACATTCTAAAATGTAACGAATTACAAAGTCTCAGAATAATATTTAAACGAAAGAATTTTACATGACTCATGTTGACTAGAAATTACTTGAAAATAATTCTACATGGAAGGTTTAAATAATGATTAAAGAATACATTAATTAGTATAATTTAGGATTTTAAAGAAATCGGAGAACTAGATGATAGAACCTCTAAAATGTATAAATACGTGTAAATTTCTCTTTCATGTAATTATTAGTTTATTAGTTTTTATTAGTTTTTTTTAGTAAACTCAAATATTATTATAAATAAACCTTGACCTTGACCTTGACCTTGTTATCTTTGAAAATTACATTTTCGTAATTAATAATTAATTACTATCTTACCTGGGGGATGCCTTTGATAAGTATAGTTGTATATATTTCTTTAATCTTATTTTCTTTATTTTTATTTTAGATTAGGCCAACACCTAAATAAGTGAAAACCCTAGCTAGGTGTGGTCAGTAAAGAAACACTGAACCATTAAAACATAACACAATGGTATCAAGGAAGATACTGGGATTATTATCAGAAGGGATAATAATTGATATGTTCCGGCTCAGGCAGAAAACATAGCAACTGCTGAGAAAACGTTACCGGATGGGAGGTAAGAAAACTTGCCCTGCAAAGAGTTAAATAGCTTGAGCGCTATACAGAAAAGAAAGTAATCAAAGAATTACACAACTGGATACTGCCATAGGAAGGGATAAATAATATTATAACTAAATCCAAGAGATTTGTATGAGACGCGGAATTTTGATCTCACACTATATGAAAAACGGAGATTTTTTTTTTTGAAGTGAACGATAATAATTTTATTTGTGTAACGTTTATATTGAATGACATTTGATTTGCAATGTCCTGTGACTATTATGTGTCGGCTAATCACAGAAAAAGTCCTATATATAAAATTTTTCAGGTCACCTGATAATAAATAATCAGGAGGATGATACCATTCAGAGTCATATTTAAATGGAGCTTTACAAGCATCCGATATCTTTTGTGTTTCAATTTCTTGGAATATTTCTTTGGGTCATTAAGAAATTTAAAATTTATGATTCAAATTTTGATTGGCGCAAGAAGATACAATGCTAATGCTTTGTAACCAAATTTAAGACCAAATTAATCAAATTAGTATTATTGCAGATACAAAAAATAAGTTCTAGTAATTCACAAAGATAAATAACGTTTCGCCTATATACATAATACCTTATCTTTTTATGAGTGAGGTGTTAAGGGTTAATACTCTAGGCATTTTATATTTGCCATTCTGAGGATTAATGACCTTTTTTTGTTGCCCTGATTTTTTTTCATTTCACCTGACATAAAAATCTCTATAGCACAAACAGCATTAATATTGGTATAGAGTTTTTTTTTACCAATTATTATTGGGGAGAGCGTATTTAATTGAAAGAAAATTTATTTAGTCGAAACTATTTATTAACTTGCTTCTAATATTTATTAAACTTTATTTATTACCAAGTTAAATTTATTAAAACTTTATCGCAAAGTTATGTTTAAAGTACATCGAATTTAAGCTTCTTATATACAATTAAATGGTTTCAACATCAACACTATTTTATGCTTTACACATAAATGTATGTCTCTGGTGTAATTACAACTTTATGTCTTATCCATAAGGTAATGTTTTAAACATGATATTAGTCATGCTAATTCCTAGCAAATAATAATAAAGTTAAATAATTTTGAGTTTCACGCATTTCTATTGGAAAGCCCATGTGTCTAGCCACTAAGAGTTAGACTTAAAGCTCCGAATGAGTTGAGTTGGAGCTAACTTAATATCTTTACAGCTTGTTCAGAGCTTTATACAAGACCAATGGGTAGAACTCATGGAAATGAGGATACAACAAAAATATCTTCCAGGACATTATATGGCTTTCAAAGTTGATTGGATTTTCATTTCTGCGTGGTTTTGTTGTTACTTGGCAATCATTTATTATGAATAATAATGTCAAATGTAGACATGACACAATAGTGAAGGGAAAGGTATCCATATTTGAGGAAAGGATAAAAGATAGATTGTGTTTTTATTCTGATTCGACCAATAATACATAGATACATATGTATAAAATATTAAATACAAGATAAAAATCACCAGAGTAATTGAATGTGAAGAAAATACTTGGATCAAAGCCATTGATGAGTATTTGGTCACTCTATCATTATTTCCAAATGATAATATTATTGTTAACATCATGAACTTCTTTTTCATCATCATCACTTTACATCATTTTTTCTTCTCTTTGTCAATCCACTCCCGAATTGCTCTTTCTATATTAATATAGCAAAAAAACATTTGACATAATCCAATTATAAATAAAAATGGAAACCGTAAGAAAGAAAAACTTGTAGATAGTAATAGAAGGTAATATTTCATAGTGGTAAAGAAGATATATCTAAACCACGGGAAAATGATGATGAAGAACCACCAAAAGTCGATAGAGAAACATTTTGTAAAGCACATAAAATATTTTAAAGCTGCAGCTGAATACATGAGGATGTTCTATTTGTTTTTGTGAAATAACAGGAACAAATTTATTAATAAAATCCGTTAACAAGAAATCCACTGTGTTGTGATGAGGTTTGAATGTAAATCCTATGTAGGAAAAAACTTCCTAATGTTAGAGAAAATTTCAAAAGAGAAAACTGACTTTAACACAGCTTGCTTGGGAGAATATGCAAAATGATAATATACATGACCCAAAT